ACTAAAGGGGGAGGAATGTAGCGTTTTAGTATCATATAACCAGTCACTCGCTTTATCCATACGATGTCTCTATATAAATGAGTGCGCACGTGTAACAGCGCCGGAAGTGTGTGTGTTGTGCGCTAGCAGACCACATGGCTGCCGACTACACTTGACTGAGTGTATTGACATGTAATGAGAGAATACAACCTTTCCCCGGAAAGCCGAGTGTTTGTTGTAGCTGCCAAAGTCATCACAGTTTTATACCGTTTCATCATTTCATGTATATTCCAGCGTCTGAGCTTAACGTGGGGGGAAATCCCGAAGTGATGCCGGTCTCCCTTATTTCCCCCCTTTGGTGAAACTCGAGCACGGGTCAAACCAGTGGTCATTTTCAGTGCGAATCTTCTCAAAGCGTAATATTTTAACACCGAAAGACCGACACAAAAACAAGCGCACGCCATGGGCTGTCGCGAGTCAATTGCATAATTTCAATCAGCCATGTTCCCCGAAAAAGCATACTTATATTTCCATAGATAAATACAAATAGAGACGACAGAGAATCAAGTCTTCTTGGTCGTCCCAGACAGTAGAATGAATGTAATCAGTAATGCAACACAAACGGCCGACGTAACATCGGTACTAGACCGTTGAACGCTGTGCACTTACTTTCTCTTCACAATCGTAAACGTTCAAATCTCGGCATGATTGATTTTATATTTACAACGTCAAATAAAAAGAATAAACGAGAAGATTGTTAACTAAATAACCCCGGCCGACACAAAGGTCGTCAGACTGGCGTCCGTCTTCCACTAAACTAACATCAAGATATAATATTGTAATCGATAACAAAACTGGTAGTTTGTTCCCTTTGCGAATATTCGAATACGTCCAGTCATCGCATTAAGATTCGCGCAAGAGACATAGGGCACCGGTTTACAAGTGGTCACATATATCATTGAGTCTCCATCTTCGTATTCAGCCTCAGACGAAGTGGAAGATGCACTTAAGAAGTCTTACAGTTCCTTTCCCGCTGTTGAAGAGGATACTGATATAGCAGAAACCTTCTACTTTCCGAACATTTACCGGATTGGAAAACGGCTAAAGGCGACACTTAAGTCGTCTCATGTAGACTCCATTGTGTATATCAATTTCTCCATACATGCTTAACATTGTGTCATCATGGCTTCTTCCATAGCTAGTGACGCTGATTGTTGCTTGTCTGCCGCACTCACCAATATTCAAGCTGTATTTCGACGGTCTCTAAATAAACTAGTCTAGACCAGACAATCCAGTGAATGACATCATGAGCTACGATTTACGAAATTGGGAAATGCTGACAAGCATAAACCAAGTCAGCTCTCATGACCTCCGGATCCCGTACCAGACTCGATTATTCACACCCTCTTATTGCCGAGCGCCAGGCAGGGTAACAACAAGTACCATCTCTTAACGTCGTTTGGTATGACTAGGCCGGGGATCGAACCACCGACCTTCCAATCTCCGTTCTGATGCCTGTCCTCTGGATCAGGAGGCGGTCGGTTGTCTTGAGAACCGGGAGGCCTGGCCGGGTGACTTGGCAGATTGGTGTTTTCGTGCCACGATTACTCATGTTTTTAGTCCCAGGTTTGCCTTGTTAAGGCAAGGTTATTTACAGCCTTCTGTAATTAAGTTGGAATACTGCTGCCGCGCCGTTAAACAACGTTCACGTTCACAGAACAGGGTGACACAACCGGACAGGGCGACTCGAACCCTGTGAAGCCTCAAATAGTGCATTACCCAACTGTTCCAAGGTCATCGGACAATCAGGAAGCACTTTAACATTGCAACATACATCGCTGACGAGATAGGAAACAACTGAGTTCCCTGCGCTACATTCTGGCACGAAACATACGCCGAGAGTCCCACAGGAACAGCAACTCCCCACGAATGGTACACTGGTCCTGCACCATGACTGTGGAATATATTTATTTTATGAAAAAAACACAATCTAGAAGCGTATACAAAAGCAAGTCTAGCCAGCTCTAGCTAGCTCTGTTCCACATCAGCATAGGGAATCTTATTATTTTTTTATAGAGTCAAGAATGATATTGTGTAATATAAGATTTCATAGACTAAATGTTAGTCTAGGTACACTGGTTCGTACGCGAATTGCAGAACTATGTCCGTTGTCTGTCCTGGACGTCCCTCTTGAAGACCTCGCACAAACACGTGGGCTGAAGAGACCCGATGGATTGAGAGGTCTACAATCACTACACTCCATCACCTCCTCCAGGGTCACTGGTCTCACTTTAACTCCACCATCAGCTGCCAGCCTGATGAAGCTGATCTGTTCAAGTACATACAGCTACACTTTCCCATGGTTCACTTTAACTCCACCATCAGCTGCCAGCCTGATGAAGCTGATCTGTTCAAGTACATACAGCTACACTTTCCCATGGTTCACTTTAACTCCACCATCAGCTGCCAGCCTGATGAAGCTGATCTGTTCAAGTACATACAGCTACACTTTCCCATGGTTCACTTTAACTCCACCATCAGCTGCCAGCCTGATGAAGCTGATCTGTTCAAGTACATACAGCTACACTTTCCCATGGTTCACTTTAACTCCACCATCAGCTGCCAGCCTGATGAAGCTGATCTGTTCAAGTACATACAGCTACACTTTCCCATGGTTCACTTTAACTCCAGCATCAGCTGCCAGCCTGATGAAGCTGATCTGTTCAAGTACATACAGCTACACTTTCCCATGGTTCACTTTAACTCCAGCATCAGCTGCCAGCCTGATGAAGCTGATCTGTTCAAGTACATACAGCTACACTTTCCCATGGTTCACTTTAACTCCACCATCAGCTGCCAGCCTGATGAAGCTGATCTGTTCAAGTACATACAGCTACACTTTCCCATGGTTCACTTTAACTCCACCATCAGCTGCCAGCCTGATGAAGCTGATCTGTTCAAGTACATACAGCTACACTTTCCCATGGTTCACTTTAACTCCACCATCAGCTGCCAGCCTGATGAAGCTGATCTGTTCAAGTACATACAGCTACACTTTCCCATGGTTCACTTTAACTCCAGCATCAGCTGCCAGCCTGATGAAGCTGATCTGTTCAAGTACATACAGCTACACTTTCCCATGGTTCACTTTAACTCCAGCATCAGCTGCCAGCCTGATGAAGCTGATCTGTTCAAGTACATACAGCTACACTTTCCCATGGTTCACTTTAACTCCAGCATCAGCTGCCAGCCTGATGAAGCTGATCTGTTCAAGTACATACAGCTACACTTTCCCATGGTTCACTTTAACTCCACCATCAGCTGCCAGCCTGATGAAGCTGATCTGTTCAAGTACATACAGCTACACTTTCCCATGGTTCACTTTAACTCCAGCATCAGCTGCCAGCCTGGTGACGCTGATCTGTTAAAGTACATACAGCTACGCTTTCCCAGCTACTTCGCCATGTCTCTAAAAACATTGACCATATAATCAAATCAAACTTTTTTGTGTCTTGTTTCTCAATATATCAACACTTCTAGCAACACGCTACAGTACACAGACGATTTGGAAGTCAAATCATGATTCATCTATATCTGTCAGTCTGCAAATTTGCCTGGTTCACTTTAAATACTTCCATCAACAGGGTCTGCTTTTATGTTCGTTTTGCTCCACACCCTTAACGCCAATTCAAACGATTGAGTATGGTTTTACGCCGCTTTTAGCAATATTCAGGCAATATCACGGCGGGGGACACCAGAAATAGGCTTCACACATTGTACCCATGCCGGGAATCAAACCCGGGTCTCCGGCGTGACGAGTGATCGCTTTAACCACTAGGCTACCCCACCGCCCCAAATTCAAACGAAGAGCATGTGGTAGAAACTTAACGTACCTCTTCATTTGATCCACAAGCCATGTATACTAACGGGGAAAAGTAACTGTGCTACATGTAGAGTTCAATAAAATATATCTTTTCTGAAAGTGAATAATGCCTCTTTCAAATATATTCATGAAGACACCTTCTCGACTTTTAAGGCCATGTTTTGCACGGGCACGATTTGGATGTTTGCGTGTTTCTTGTGAGGATGATACTCACACACGTGGTTTTTATGATATGAACAGCACACTGACTGACTGACTGAGTATGTTTTTACGCCGCTTTTAGCAATATTCCAGCAATATCACGGCGGGGGACACCAGAAATGGGCTTCACACATTGTACCCATGTCACCATATTAATCACTGGATTGTCTGGTCCGGACTTGATTATTTACAGACCGCCGTGATATAGCTGGAATATTGCTGAGTGCGGCGTTAAACAACAAACCAACCAACCGACATCTGGTGTCTCCAATGATGCCTCGCCTGTATGAACCCAAATTGTGACTATACCCCGATATTGACATTGTTAATTGAGTTGTTACACCACTCCTTTTTCAGGGCGTGTCGCTCTGTCTCCTGTAACCAGGTGTGGGTTCTGTCAATAAATTTGTCATGATAAAACATTGATCAGACGAATGACCAAATGTTATGTTAGTATTTTCAATAGCATAACATTTACACCACTTTATATGACGCAAAGTTACATTTTTCCCGTTAACATACCTTCTCATATGAGTGAGTGATTATGGTTTTGTAACACCTTCAGCAATATTCCAGCAATATACCCATGTGGGGAATCGCGCCTTCGGAGTGACGAGCGAATGCGTTAACCACTAGGCTACCCCTCTGTCCCCATTCTTCTCATGTAATCCTGTTCATGTACCCTGGTGGTAAAAGCTTTTACTCGTCTTGCCAAACACCCGAGTTTGATTCCCGAAATGGGTACATAGTGTGAAGCCCATTCTTGGTACCCCCTCGTCCAGGAATAGTGCTCCAGGCGACGTAAAACCACACTCACTCACTCACTCACTCAGATACTGATAACCTAAGCTCTTTGGACCTTGTTGTACCGCAAACAGAGCTCGGATGATGCCTTCTGGTTCGTTCTTCGCAATATTAAAAAGTCAAACACAAAATATGCAAATTCTGATTTTATTGATTCTTGTCAACTGTAAAAAATAAATTTAATCGTGAGGAAACAAATACAACTCATAGCTGTTGTCTCAAGCACACCGATGTCGAGAACGAAGTCTGGTTATACAATCACAATTTGTACAACCCTTAACTTTATACCCATCCTCGGTGTTCAAGGTTAATTTACTATCTAGTGCAAATACCCAGGTTTTGCCATTGTCGGATAAGTGATTACACTCTTGACACAGACGTTCCTGACACCACTTAAACATTAACATGCCAATGGACGATAATTCACACAAACAAGGGCTATCGATTAATCCGCTGATGGTACGTAACAAATATCATATAGCATACAATTAAATCAAGGTTGCGTTGCCCGATATCCAAGAGATTTGGAAACAGATATGAATATATCAACCCAAGACACCGAGGATGGTTCATATCTACATTAGTAGATAAACACTCACAAAATGTACATGTACACGGACACAGGCCGAACTGTGATTCTCATAAATTGTACAACTCCGCAGTTGAGGTGTTTGTCACACGTCACCGATTGACGCAGCCCTACACCTAGTTCCATCACTTGCCGCCAGGATGGGACGTAAGGGGAGGTAAGTCATATGCCTTCTGTTCTGCGACAGGTTCATGGATTACATTTTCACGATGTCTTTCTAACACCAGTTAATATACGCATTTGAAAATATACTTGATCTGTTCAACTTTAATATGATTGATTTCCTTAGTGGTTGCCTATGGCAACTGGGGCAACTTTTCTGATTGGAAAATACTTTTTTCAGATATCTTGTAGTTGATTGTGACTATTGTCATGTTACTTTTGATATGGACATGGACGTAAACTGACCAACTCTGAAGGTGGATTACTGGGCGTAGGGTAGTCGTGAACATTATCAATGAACCGGTCACAAACTTGTATACCACAAATGTTAGTCGTGACTTGTGAACAATATGTTCTATCTACAAATACCCTTCCACCATGAACAAATATACACCAGCAGCCTCCAAGAGGCGAAGGTTTCTAGCAAAATTGTACATACCAGAGCACAAACAACAAAGGTAGATAATGTGTAGACCTACAAGTTCACAACCATTTACGATCAGCAGGTATAGGTACTACTGAACAAAATCAGGATCGCGGCAAAACAATGTTTGAAAATCATTACTGAGGAAGTTCGACAAGCAGAGATTGCATTTTCTCACGGGGCTGCGATTGTTGCAAAAGTAGTGGTGTACCGTCGTGGTTGAAGGCAGGCAGAAACGAACTGACACTCAAAAGAAACAGGAAGATAATAAAGCTGGGTGTGTATCAACACACATTAAAGTTGCTAAGGAGTAGTAGACATCAGCTTTCTCGGTGGGATTTGGTCATGACATGACGAACAATCAAGTGTTCCTTACATCTAAACGTTTTCACCAGTCTGTTTGTACGTCCCATGTAATATTCTGGGGATGGGATTTCTGTTTGAAAAAGATTCATTCTGAAAGGACAAGCCAAAGACTTTGTTTTGGGCCAGTAACATATTATATTTCACAACATCGACCATGTCCAGCGAGAATGTTATCTTGGGTAAGACCTTTTCCTCCAGGTTTCGAATAAAATCCGAGGCCCCTCCCCCAGAATACCAAATAGTCGATCACTTAATGCCATGGGACGTGAATTGCTAGAGCTATGTAAGTGTATCAGGGGGGAAAGGCGACTATGCCCGGGCCAAATAGCAGTTATACCAACCTTTTTTTAATTTTGTCACTTTTCATTTACTCAAAACCCTCGTTCTTTATGGCAATCATGTATATCAAACCCCGCTGTATTTGTCTGCTAACTCAAATGTAATGTTGTATATAAAAATGCAGCTAAAGATGGCCTAAATCACGCAGACAATGTGAACAATGTCAACAGACCTAGAATTTGAAATGGACGCAAGGCCGTCGGGCAGAGCCCCCCTTTAACACTGATTGTGACTCTTCTTTTGTGTTTCAGTACAGGAGCAGCTTAAACTACGTACATTTGCGTAATCAACGTCTTGAATAAATCAATACAACAATACATAAGTATACCAAATGAAACATGGTGAAAGCATTTGTGCAAATTGGCTGGTTTACCATAATATTCATATAAAACCAGAATTTTACGAATGAATTACATCGTCAGGTCCAATAATAACGGTTAATTGACAAACAAAATATACAAAAATATACCACAAAGCATTTAAACAATCTAACGAGATATATATATATATATATCCTTAATGGGCGGCACATACTTTGTACTCAATTATATACAGACGAAGTACCAGTAACTGGGAAATTCACTGCGTGCCATATGATAAGCGCCCATTGTCTTCATTTGTTCATCATCATAATAATCATCCTCAACATCTTCATCATCATGACCACCGTGATGTTCAACACGTAGACGGTGAAGGAACATAAAATATTAAATTAGCAATTTCAACACTCAAAGCATGTGTTACGCCGGCCACTCTTTAATCTGACTGCCCAGAATGAACAGGTTGGATCAAGCAAAAGGGATTTTCAATGCGTACAGGTATTCTAAATATTTAGAAGTAACTCAACATGTTCTTTACCTATCTGCAACAAAAAAAAATACATTTCTGATATGATATATCATTCCATATTCTCTACAAAGCCAGTAACCTTTCTCTTGATAACTGTTACTGTTTTGAACTCCTGTATTTGAGTCCGCTTTCATCTCCGACCCGTGAAGATCCGGGGTAGAATAGATCTTCAGCAACCCATGCTTGCCGTAAAACGCGACTATGCGTGTCGTAAAAGGCGACTAACGGGATCGGGTGGTCAGGCTCGCTGACTTGGTTGATGCATGTCATCGATCCCACATTGCGAGGATCGATGTTCATGATATCAATCACTGGATTGTCTGGTCCAGACCCAATTATTTACAGAGCGCCGTCATATAGCTGGAATATTGCTGAGTGCGGCGTTAAACAACAAACCAACCAACCAACCTCTTTCATCTCCACTGTGGTTACACAATCAAAGCGACAAAACCCTTCCCATATTCATAAGCAGGGGCGATTGTAATCAAATCTTATCGTCCAAAAAGGAATTCCGTCCCCGATCAAATGACTTTGATACCTCGATACACTTTCTGCAGTACAATCAAAGCATTTCTGTTGTGTTCATATTATATAAGCATTATATTCTCGGATCCCCTTAAAATTGTGCGTTTGATTTTATGTAAGTGATAATTGTTTTAGTTGAATTAATTCACACCAAGCATAGCTTAATCGAACAGTTCTTAGTATAAATAATACATCTGTTTGGTAACAATCATAAACATATGAAAACAAAACATGAATATATTGGCAATTACGACATAGTACGTTACTGCATTCATGCATACACACGCATATATATTAACCCTTGCAAACATACATTTGTTAATTGGTCCCCAATCAATCTGGAATTACAATGTTAGTAAACAAAATGACCTCGAACTGAAACAGGGTGGAGCTCTCTACTGGGTGAGTCAATAAGGTCCCAACAGAATTAAGATATAATATGGTAAGAAATGAAGAGAAAAAGTTCCAGTTTTCGTAAGCCGTTTCACTTCCTGGTGAAGACACACAGGCGCAACACTACCATGTGCACATCTGCAAATGTTATCCAGCTTTATTTAAAACCTTTTGATGGTTGTAGCAGAAATGTATATCACGAGCAGATTTTACAGCGCCGGAGGCTTTTTACTTTCTTTATAAAGGTCTTCATGATCATGGCTGATCCCATGGTTTTATAGGCGCGAGATGTTTAGTACCCTCTCTAAGGGTTGAATGATTTGTCAGTGAGAGAGAAAAACGTGAAAAAAAACTTTGTTACAAGTTGTCGACATCAGCTTGAACGTTTTTCGCACGAGGTCTACAAAGGAATGTTTAAACAAGGCTAGGAAACTCGATTAATTCATGAGAAATGCTAATAACATTCTTTTGCATGCCAAAATGTGTAAACGTTGGTTTACGTCAGGTATATTTGACCCCACCCTGATAACTGAGTGATATGTATGAAATGATAGATAATCTAATTACACAATCGTGACTGAGTCTGTTTGATTAACACACGAATGAAAAGCGATATTAAATTACTCAAGGCTGAAGTCGCAAAGCCAGACAGTTCTTGTGTTGACCTTTAGGTCAAGGACACACCTCCGACATGGCAATTGGTCAGTTGCAAAATAAACCACCAAAGTAAATGTCCGGTCGTATGGAACATACACGTAATGAGGTCCTGTTCATGTTTTCTCCAAATCCAACAGTCAGACCATATCCTGAAGACATTCAAAGTATATCCACGGATAGTTATAGCACCGGAAGTGTTACCGGAAGTGTATGCACCAATATTAGCAAGCTCAGCAGCAAATATGTCACGTGATCACAGCTCTTCACCACAGAACCTGAAATAGAAATGAAATGTTATATGAAAAATATCAGAAAGTAGAACCTCAAAGTGGTACCAGTCTCAGCGGGCGTCTACGCAAAGTTCATATTAGTACATTAAGGTCTCACGTTCTTGTGGCTAGTTTAGTGTACTGAATTGGATTAATCTTCTAATTTACAGGCTCTGGAGTTATCGATATCCCTTTTCATTGAATCACACAGGCTGGGACAATAATCTTTAAAATCCAGAAACAGATTTCAATGATATATCATTTATATATGGGCAGTCATACACAGACACACGTATAAAGACCATTTAAGCTAACATATTAGTCGGACACAGTGATTCTTTGACATATACTCAATGCTACAATGCTCTAGAGCCCAAAGAATATCCCGTAAACAATAGACATCCCCTCACTGATTTGCCGACATTATAGTATGACTAAGCTAAAGGGAATGCCTCGAGTAATATACACACAATGTTAGCAGAGAGAGCATCCATGAACAGAATAAAGTACAAGAGGCTGGTGCATTGCCTTGTCACACCGAAGATCCGGTTTCGAGTCCCACATGGTTACAATGTATGAAGAAGATTCTTCGCGTCTCCGTCAAGCTCGAGCTGGAATTTTGCTAAAAGCGGCGTCAAACCACTCAATCTATTCCATATAAAGTCGTCTTGATCTACTAACATTCCCCGGACCTAAACTATTCAACTGATTCAATCTATTCGAGAAACAGATCCCAAAGTCTTTCAATACATTGGCAAGTTTTGGAAATGAAGAGATTCTCTGGACTCTATTTTATATTAAAAGACAATTTTAAAAATCGCTTCAAAGACAATATGTCAGAGCTTACCCCCACTGTTGGGTTGTCCTCCCTGGTGCCCCACGGTGTAGCCAGGGTCGTCCTCGTTACCCCCTTTAGGTGGGGGTGATGGGGTGGCGGTGGTGGTGGGCGTCGGGGAGGTACCCCCATTCTTCTCGTTCTCTCTGATGATCTCCTGTATCTTCAGGAAGTCATCCCTGCCCATGCGGCAGTTGTGGGGCGAGTGGGTGAACGCCTGGTGGATGGCGGTCATGTTGTGGAAACAACGGGGCACGTTCTTGGCCACGCAGAACCACAGTTTGTGCAAAGCGCTGAAAGGTAAAAGGAACAAACTTATCAAAATGTCAGTCAAAACTTCAGTTCACATTACGTCCAAGCGACATTAAAACAAATCCGATGTTATTCAGACTTGATTCTTAAGCGGAACCTTAGGTCTGGAAAAGAGTGGGTGAGTGAGTGAGGTTTTACGCCGCTTTTAGCAATATTCCAGCAATTTCACGGCGGGGGACACCAGAAATGGGCTTCACACATTGTACCCATGTCGGGAATCGAACCCGGGTCTTCGGCGTGACGAGCTAACGCTTTAACCACTAGGCTCCCCGACCGCCCCGTCTGGATAAGACGTCTCTACAAGCTTATGAGTTATTGAAAACACGTTCTCACATAGTCTCCTTCATACGGTTACTCCGCGTATAGACCACCATGTATATATCAGTCCGATATTATTCAGAAATAATCGTCTCTACAAGTTGGTGTCGCAAAGCCCCAGTGTTAAAATTCAATCTTTGGCTTTCTACAGACCCATCTCAGACTCGTATAATTGCATGTTATTGTACTGTACATTTTTTACGGCATGTTAACAGGTCATTCATTCTGTTTAGCTATAATTCACACGTAATAGTATGGTAGCCAATATTGGCCATTTTCATCAACAGCGAATATCTTGTCACTTTGAAATCTGAAATAATATTATGCTACCTGGTTGTGTGTTTGGTTCCAATGCAGTCAGGGGTGTCGGGTAGCCTAGTGGTTAAAGCGTTCGCTCGTTACGCCGAAGACCCGGGTTCGATTCCCGACATGGGTACAATGTGTGAAGACCATTTCTGGTGTCCCCCGCCGTGATATTGCTGGAATATTGCTAAAAGCGGCGTAAAATCAAACTCACTCACTCACTCCAATGCAGTCTGCATTGAAAGTACTTTACTTAATACATGTAAATTATTAAGGGGGTACGACACATCCTTCGTAGTGTGGCTCAGCACATTTCAGCCAACCCTCGTACATAAACAGGCTATAGCCCATTGACTGATATTGATTAATGATACCTCACAGGTAGCCTCATCAAAGACTACACACATATGCCTCATCTCTGCAGACTCACGATATGAATATGATTCCTGTGACATGCAAGGTGCATATAAACAGAAACTCAGTATAAACGGCACTGCATCAAATCATATCTATACTCAGATGCCACTAACTCAAGAACTCAGATGAGGACCCCGACTCCATGCTTCCCGTACGCATCGTGGTTACGATGTATAACCCGTCAAGATCCAGGGTAGAATCTGTCTTCAGCAGCCCATGCTTTTCGTAAGAGGCGACCAACGGAATGGGTTGGTCAGACTCGCTGACTTGGTTGATGCTTAGATCCATGCTCATTATGTCAATCACTGGATTGTATGGTCCAGACTTGATTATTTACAGGCCGCCGTCATGTAGCTAGACTTATGCTGAGTGTGGCATTAAAACAAAACATCAAATTATATCCGTGGGAATGTTCATGCTTGTCTACACTAAGATACCAGTGAACTTCGTGGGGAATCCTGGTCTGATTGGGACCCCAACCCCATGCCTGCCATAAGCCGGTTACAATGTGTTACCTGGCCGAATGTGTGTCGTCATGACCTGACGTCATGAATCAATGCTCGTGTTGTCAACCACTGGGTCACCTTGCCCAGATTCTATTATTTACAGACCGCTAGGACATATATAGCTGACCTAGGTGCAAAACAACATTCACTGACTCACTCCAAATCTAAATCTTAGGTACCAACGGAGGAAGCTGGATGGAGATATTTCCTGACATTATACCCCTCGGGGGTATTAGTCAGCGATGAGGGACAAGCTGGTCAGACCGCCGTCATGCCCAGGAATCAATGGTCAGTTCACGAGATCCAATACCACTCGGATCAATTGTCTGGACTTTGATGGATTGTCGATCTCTGCATCTCATACAGAGTCTAGACCTGGTGCGGTTATGGCTGGAATCACATTGCGTCTGTCTGGTCATCCGCAAGTCCTGCCGAAACCAGGGAGATCTCATGGCCTTCATTTTGTATATCTGATATTGACCAGCTTCTGTTTGAGTAATACTTGTCCTTTTATAGTAATGAATCCATGATATGTAACACGTCCCTATCTGCGTGGTACTGGATGTCTTTGACAATATGCTGTTTATGGTAACAGAAGCAGAGAGGATACGACGAAGTAATGAAGATCACATTTCTGAATTACCTCAAAGGGCGATCGATTGAAATATACGTTCACATAATGTAGGACTTGCCTTTACAGTCATCATGTTTTACTTCGATTGTTAACCATAGTGAAGGTAAATATATAAATATATATGAAAATAAATCATATTAGTGTCAAAGTGTTATCGCATATCCCCAGTGCTGACCAAGGAGCGAAATCTACCCATCCCTATCCCCATCCCTCACGGTAGTTAGAAACACCAAACTGAGTGGCTCAAGGCTCATGTCACAGGTATGTCAGGATCCTATTACACCTTTGCTACCCGTGCCCGTGGCTTCCACCAAAAGAGGTGGAAAACAATACCTGTATAGTAACACAATTTCATGGCCAACCAATACGTGACCAGTTGGGTGACTGACATGTCATTTCTCAATGACAGATTCCAGTTTCCAAAGATTTTGTACTTCAATGTTACCACAAGTGATAAAGAACTTTGTATCTTCATATGTGACAGCAACATGGCGGTCATCGACATCCAATCGTAGCTTGACGTTCCTGGCTTGTGTCATAACTGGCCATAATGATATTTACCGAACTCATGTACTTATCCTTTTGGTAGTAAAAGGCAATGTCTAACAAATACGATCATAAGCTACTTACAACAAATACAAAAGCATTATCAAAATCCTTATCACATTCCGTATCAGTCAATGTTACACACACGCAAACACGCAAACACGCAAACACGCAAACAAGCAAGCACACGCAGGCATACACACAGATACAGCTTACACACCTGATAAAATGATACAAAGTTTTTCATCATCCTCGAATGCCAGTCGGAATTTGCCTTAGGAGATAAGAGCAATTGTTGTGACAAACGTTAAAAAGCTTAAAAGTATTGACACAACATTCTCTATAAACATGCATATGAACACTTTTGGTATGTTACCAAGGATACACATTTATTTCAGCTAGTAAATATTCAAACTGTGTATGTAGTTTACACATGAACATACCAACATGCAAGTAAAGCTATTAAATGGCACTAAGCGAGCCATAGATAGCAGGGTGTTACACTCCTGGTCGAAGCAAGGATACATTTCCACAAGGTCGTTAAAATCTCGATGTTCCATCTATGTGATTCTTAACAGGCTGCATGTAACCCAACATATATGTTGTTATTTACTTTTCTGTGTATTTTGTTTTCTCTTAAAACCTGCTGTAACAGCTCAACATGATGGGGTAGGTCGACGAGCTAAAAAGCACTCGACAACCTTCAAGTTGTAGATACAGTGGCAAACTTCCAAAGTAGATTTGAAAAAAAATTCAAAATTATCTTCGGCTTGATGCAGAATCGGTAGTTTTGCTTATGGTTAGGCGGAAAAGGTGTCCTATTGTTCAAAGGCTGCAATATGCTGCACAGATTCGCATCCCTTTGTCGTGTCAGGATTCGCTGGATGTGGGTTCGAATCCCAGATTGGCCTTGAGTATGTGTCCAATAGTAATGTTCCAGGAACTCAACAAGAGTTTAGAGCAATAGATTTGATGAGTTAAGTTGTGAATAAAAACACATTGTTTACTTCGATCTTTTCAAAAGGCAACCGCATCTAGAAATATTCTGATATATTTCCAGTAACAGTTAACAGAAGGGTTGCTACACTGTACAAAGCTAATAATAATAATAATAATAATAATAATAATAATAATAATAATAATAATTGTGCATTTATAATGCGCCAGATTCCATTCACCAAGTGGATGTTCATAGCGCTACACTATTATTACCCCGGTCAATGGATCAATTTTCATTCTCAGCTCCCTGGGGAGTATGCAACCCAAAGCTAACCAATTATAGGGCATTTAGCACAACGGCCATGTCCACAGGATTATACAAGCAAAGTTCTATAAACACACATTCTGTAGGAGGGTGACTGCAGTCCTGTCACAAGCTCTAGAAATACACCATGAAGCCAAGCAGAAATCACTGTCTCCTGATACAGTGTCTTATAACCCAAACCATAGGGACCTGTGTTAATACTTAGTTTCCTTTTTCTTGAGCTTTTACAATCAAACTGAGAAAATAAGAAACAATTCTTGCATTGTTTTAAATATCCTTTGCATAAATAACATCCCTGATTACAGTTCAGAGAGTTGGTTTTACTCTTAGTCTGAAAGCATAAATTAGAAATAGCTACTAACGCACACAATCAACGCGTCAACATTTTCTCATCGCATCAGAGCGTTGATGGCGACACCATTATTGGTCATCCGGGGACATGACTGTCGGCTAGACGTGCCACGTATTCCCGCCATATGGATGAATGGTCCAACAGACGACAAAGGTTTTCCGTATTCACCACGAAATATTGCTTGTTGGGCCGTGAGCGATCAAACAAATGACTGAATCATTGCAGTTCCTTATAGTTCCTTAGTTACCTCAGCACGTTTTGTTGTAAATGAGGGAGTGATGTCATCAATGAAGAGTCAACATATGGTTGTGGTGATTCATAGCAATTCATTACGGATATTAACCTTCGTCCTTATAAATGATCCTGACAAAGACATGGCACATACATTTCAACATCCAGTTCTGACATTTTCACCTATTTGAGTCATTGGGATAACTGTTATCTGTTTAGCATCGACAATATGGAGCTCTAAACGTAAGGTTCAAGAAAATCGATTACAGAATCTTTTCGTGAGTAATAACGTTGCATGAAAACAATGGCAAGTTCTGCGAACTATAATTTAGGGTTCTATTTCTATTTCCAATTTGCAAAGATGTAGCATAACAGCATTTCTTGAAAATCAATATCACTGAATTATACATATTTGATTATTTTCACGTGAATGTTGAACTAATGAAATAAAAAAGTTTGGGTGCAACGAACCGAATCAGTGAACACAAAATGTAATCAGTTAAAATGGATTCAGCGGGAATGAAGTTAATGAAAGAGTGCTATCATATGAACGTTGCAGCAGATTAATACAGCACTGGACCAAGATGAAGACACCAGTATCAACAAGAGACCACCCAAGACTGAACATACAGAAATGAACCACGACGGTTGTATAGCTTTATGGCGTATAGACGCTGTCATTCTGAAAAAAAGTGTACACCTTCATTCGAAACTGTATTTGATCTACTTATCTAATGATGCCCTTTTTGTCTAGCTACTGAACGGGTTCAAATTAATAAAAGCGACAAAATCCTATTTGCATTTAGCCAAAGTAATTTGACATATGAGCTGACAAGAAGCCTTTACCATCAGGGCATAGAGATGCTATCATTTGTTCATCCGAGCCTTCTGCTCAATGACTGTCACAGTCTTGTACTCTGATCTTTTATCCGGAATCGGTCAATAAAAGAATATCCGACAAACGTGCGTTTTTGTGCAGATGGCTCACCATAAACTTAAAGATCAGTTACGAGAAGGACCATATCTGGGTACTTGCATGAATTCGTAATCACTTATTCGGCTGTATTTCATTACATCTCCCATGCCGACATAAGATGTTTACTACAAACATTTAATGTTTTGCTCCTAAAGGAATGAAAAACGTATATTTATCAGCAAATGTTCAACGTAATTGTAGAAAGTGTTGCAAAGTGATTCAAGACAAATATCTTTGTGTAATGTTCGATGCAAAGATAAGTCGGAGATTAAACTGCAGACCCAAGATAAGGGATACAACTGAGACAAGCATCTTACTACTATTTGAAAAACACCCACAGAAACTGTACATAGAAACAAAATCTTATCTCCCCCCCCCCCCCCTTGTGGATCCGGGTCAGAATAGGTCCCCGATAACATGGTACTGGTTCAAGCTTCATTGTCTACAGGCCACCAGGGATGGGCTTCACATATGGACTCGAACCCACAAGGCTGCCATACCACCCCTAGTCAGTACTTAATTACTGTAGTACTGATCCAGTCATCATTATAACCTTGTAGGATACTAGTTACTATTGCACTGCAATAACATATCTCTGCTATTTCTGTATCTGAAAGACATCTTTGGGATTTGGGAGAGTAAAATAATTCGGTAAAGACAGACTGTCCACAGTTTTCCAGAATATTTGCAGTAATGACATGCAGATCAATAGCTTCTGAATGTCAAGGCTATGTTTTATTTATTGAGATTAGTATCTTCCTTTGTCGTTGCCACGTGAGGCTGATAGAAGCTTGTGGACTCATTGATTCAGTGAAGCTCGTCATACATGGGCGGACCGAGACACGTCATAGACACGGATTTAGTAGCACACGTGACCCTCATCTGCAGATTCTGGGTTCTCCTTGATAGTGAGACAAGAATGTGATTCTGAGTATTAGACGTCATTGTCAACGGTAACAAATTACAAATGATAAATCTCCGTATAATGTATCACCGCGTGCCAGCTTGGTGTGGGAAGTGATGCTCGTCTTAGACTTTTACCACGTGGTGAAGCCCACGAGCACGGGTATGGTGCTGACAACAGATAATCATAATCAGGGCGAATATGGGATTTAAATCCACGATCATAGTGAAATGTTCAAGTTGTTAAAAAAAAGATAAAATCAAGGTTGGGGGCATAAAACAAGACATGAACAAGCCTAACCAACAATTCTTTGTATTTTCAAAACTGTAGTGAATAACTGAATCGAGTGGAATTCTCTGTCTGGGGAGGCTTCAACCTATAGTTACAGTTGCATTGTGGACACGCTAACTGGATTGAATTATGATTGAGATGTATTTTATATATTTAGTGATTGTATGAATATTTTGTGTTAAAACAAAGAGATTTATTATTTTTGTCAATTGTTTTCAGAACTCCTTCATCAGAGTAAATAAAAAGGTGTTCGGAAGCCCTCCCGTTTTCCCATTCTTCTTTGTCCAAACCACTAACATTCTTACTGCTATTCCAAATGCCTTATGATGCTGCTGAAATGTCTGGCCTCCCTGCAACTCCTCGCATTCAATGACATGGCGGAAGTACAAAACGTGGATCAATATTTAATGGTTTAGGCACGTTCCTCTTTATGAAGCATTCAGCACTTGTTTGCAAACATCGACCAATACTGTCTGTTGCAAGAATTCATTCTCCAGGGGGAAATTTGCGTTTTCTGATTATTTGACCATGTGTTATTATCATGCAAAAAAGCATTAACATTAATTATCAGTGATATGAATGAGCACCAATTTCAAATGAAAAGTATAAGTTTATACGTATTCAGTTAATTCCCGCATGTACAACTCAAAAATAGACATCTGTCGTCTTTTACACTGGCAGAATTATTTGAGAAAAAAATGTCAGTACATGCCGATCATGAAAACAACAAAAAACAATGTCAATAACATATCAGGGAGGACAAACGATACATAATGAAAAGTGGAATTTGTGTTCTCTGGCAAACAAATAAGGTCGACTATTTCAGCTGTTGATGCAATCGACAAGGGGATGCGGTACTTTCGCGCAGAGCTTAACCTCTACTGGGAGCCATGTAAATGGTGTTAATAGTTTAATGATGACCTTCGAGCACACACAGCTGACAGGATGGCGTGTTTGATTGACAGGAGGTGGGTTTGTGTCTGTCCATCAGGTATCATACACTCAGAAAAATAAACAACTGTCAGTCAGTTATTAGTTATTATATTTTGGTGCTTAGAAGCACACAACTCAATTACTCTGATGAAGCTAAACCCCAAAGTGAGGGAATGATTGAGTATGGTTTTACGCCGATTTTAAGCAATATTCCAACAATAACACGATGGGAGAAATCTCACTTTAAAGCACATATTGATTTTTAAGAAGTTGTGTTCAAAGCATCTGGTTCTGACACAAGTTATAATTTAAAGAAGGAAAGAAACGTTTTAAAGGAAACGCATTTATGAAAAAGAAAAGAACACTTTAAAAGAGTACATGGATTGTTATCACATCTGTTAAATATCCCCGGTCTATGCTCTTGTTAAGTTAGACTAAGCCTCGCTGTTACACATCACTAAAACAGTAATAGATGATTAGTTATATGTCATGAGTTCGAGTTTTACGAGATGATATGCAAATTGTGTGGATGGCGGGTTGGCAGGAGGGCATGCTCACCCTTTTCGGAAGCACCTGTTGTCGTCACTGAGTTTGGTGGTGCATGCATATAGTTTTCACATCTTGTTCGGCCTTTGCACCAAATTGTAATCTGTTTCGGTGGATAATCTAGACTGGTTATTTTCATGCACCACGAGACCGAATGTAGAAGGAGGTAAACGAATGAATTATATTAAAATGTTTGTGTCTGACAATAACATTTATCCTGTGACCACCATCGGACACAAAATGAAGTGCGATCAATTGTGACGTGACAAGCAAATGACGTCATATTCAAACTTAATGACGTCATGATTTCCGTACAGGCCGTCATGTAAAGAAAATCAGATAGCTAGATTCGTTAACGTGTAATGGTAACTTGTGTTCTATTAGATAATAAATATTATGCATGTTTGAATTTCTGCAAGTGAAACAGCCTTCGAGGAACAGGAACTGAACTCTTATACCTCGAAACATATCAGGGGCGGTCGGGTAGCCTAGTGGTTAAAGCGTTCGCTCGCCACGCCGAAGACCCGGGTTCGGTTCCCGACATGGGTACAATGTGTGAAGCCCATTTCTGGTGTCCCCCGCCGTGATATTGCTGGAATATTGCTAAAAGCGGCGTAAAACCATACTCACTCACTCACTCGAAACATATCAAAATGAAAAACACTCACTTGCACAACTGGCTGCTATGGTTGGTCCCGATGTGTTTAACGAGTTCATCGTTCTCCGCCCGACAGGGTTCCTGGATACTCATCAGGTCACTGGACGTGCAGGTCAGACATGCCACTGGAATAGAAATAACACATAGTCAGGGTGGTAACATGTACAGTACAGGTGAGGGGAGGTTTAACGTCGCTTTCCGGTTTATATCACGTATATAGCCACGTGCATGCATGTGCGCGTGCGTGCGTGTGTGGCTGCTCGTACTCGTCCGGACCAATGCCGATTTTTTAGTGCTTGTTCACAAAGATAACATGCCGCAGTTTAACCGATAATACCTACACATAGTACTGATTCCATGTCGACCAGTCCTTGTTTTAGCCCAACGCAGGGTATCAACAACTGCGATCTTTTAACGTCTTTTGGTATGATGCGGCCAGGGATCGAACCCTCGACCTTCCGCTCTCCGGGCAGACGCTCTACCACTAGACCACGGAGGCGGTCTTGTACGGTACAGGTAATCAAAATTGAATAACTGAGTACATGACGTTTTATGCCGTAGTCAGCATCATTTACCATTATCCATCAGCATGATATTTCTCAACGGCCTGTAAACAGCGGACTCTAGGCCAGGTCAATATCATTAAAATCAGTTCGTTCTGACGTGGAGGTGCGGATGGCCTCAAGTCTTTCATCAGCGGTAGCGAGAACCAAGATCTGATTTTGATGAGATTGAGGCCAGGCAAACCAGTGGTTTACTGCATGAGAACGTCCCACCTCGGGTCATGGTGCCACACAATCGAGTTTCCCATTGTCCCCACCCGATCCACATCAGGCGGTTCCTACAAGAAGCCGTTAACGCGCTATCGTGTCACTGGATTGTCTGGTCAAGACTCGATTGTTTACAGGCCGTCGTCGTATTGAGGGAGTACTGCTGTGCCGCGTCAGGCAAGAAACATACACTTGCTTTGTTGTACAAGTTGTGTGGGTGGCGGGTACTACCGGTGGGTCAGGACATGCTTACCCTTTTCGCAAAAACCTGCAGTCGTCACCGGGGGCACGGGTGGCCCAGTCGTCTAAGGCGCCGCGATTCGCTGTGCAGAGTTGCGTCCCTTGGGCACGCCAGAAACCTATGATTGAGGGTTCGAATACCGGTTCGCCCCGATTATGTTTCTAGGTTTGTCAGCACCATACCCGTGCTCGTGGGTTTCACCGAAGTGGTAAACGTCTGAGACCTGCATCACTTCGGGCTTTCCTCCCACATTAAGCTGACACGCCGTGATATAACTGAAATACTGTTAAAAGCGGCGTAAAACCCAACTCACTCACTCACTGTCGTCACCGATATGTTATCTGTTCATATGACTTTCGCCACTATTTGCCTTTTGCGCCCGATGGAAACTTTTTCGGCAGATGATCTTGACTGGTTGCTGTGTGGCGTTGACGTGTTATATTGACATGTCGCCACGATATAGCTGAAATAATGCTGACATGACGTAAAATAACACTCACCCACTCTATTGATACAGACACAAGGTAGCTTCTTTAAATATAGTCGATATAACGCCTAGCCAATGAAGTCAATTAAGGTTGTATGCAATGTATGCAATAGCGTATGCAGAGCCTTATTTAACACATGCACGTCTCACGTTGAGGAAACCAAACGAAAGAACTTTGCCTTGAAAATCTATATTCCTTTCTTCCGCTAAGTCTGAACATAACTGGGTCAAGGATACTTCAAATAGCTGCAGTCACAAAATCTACATCTGCCATAACAGGAAATGCAGCATATGCATTGCATGGTGGGGTACCCAATTACATAACATTGGCATCCCTCAGCCAGCAGGGTTACCAGATACAGACAGTATAATGGCGGTCTACGGAACTCAGGATGCTTGTCTCTGTGGTGATTGACAGGCATAATATCAAGAAACAAAGACGGTCTGTTTTTCTTACAAACATAAAAGACATTTTTTGCAGGATTGCGTGATGGATGATTGCAATTATCCACATTTTGAAACGTCTTCCGTTGTTTCTGATAATGATCCAACTCAACGACAGACACAACCAACAGCACTGGGAGAGGCATCCACACCATGTCTTAAACGGACAATCCTCGTGTATTCATAGGCCATTTAGCCTTGCACCAAACGAAATAATTGTGACGTAAATACAACAAGTTCAAGTGCCAAACTGATATGGACAGGCATGCAACAGACCTGGGAAGTTTAAACAAAAATACATTAAAACTACTTGGCTTTCCGTCCTGACTTTGTTTAGCCAACACATCACACGATCCAGATTCACAATTCTTAATGCTCAAAATACATGCTTCATTCTAAATCAAGACGATTCTTGCCCTGCCAAGTGTATGTACTGTTATAAAGGGATGTAGAATACGAGTGAAGAGATTTCAGCGTACACAATGAGATCCAGACTACATGATAGCGGAACACATTATTATCTGAAAAACTGTGAAGAAACAACGTAAACACGAATTCTTTAAGCATCGAGCATTTCCTCTCCACAAGGTGGTAGGGAGGGAGGAAAACAATTCACTAATTGGGCAAAGTCAGCCGAACGTTTTTACCAATTCATGATGAATGGTTTAAAAAGGGTTTTAACATATTCTGAGTTCCCAGATAGAAGTTGTTGATGACGCTAAACGTAAATAACACAATGAAAGTTTACAATGATCATGACCGTGCCTCGTTAACGCATTTGGGTCATCGTAGATTGCAACTGAGACTGATACGTGTTTACGCCAATATTCTTCTCCAAACGTCATTATGTTTTATGATTTAGGACCGTCTCCGTGGTCTAGTGGTAGAGCGTCCGCCCGGAGAGCGGAAGGTCCGGGGTTCGATCGTCATACCAAAAGACTTTTAAAGATGGTACTTGTTGTTACCCTGTCTGGCGCTCGGCATTAAAGGGCTAAAACAAGGACTGGTCGGCTCGGAATCAGTATACTGTGTCTGAGTGGGGTATTCATGTTAAACTGTGGCATGGTATCTCAGTGTGCTAGCAGTATAAATCGGCATCAGTCCGGACTAGTACAAGCAGCCACACACACGTGCATGCACGTCGCTATATAAGTGCAATAATCTTGGACGCGACGTTAAACCCCATTTAGCCTCACCTTTTACGATTTAGCATGGTTAATGTGACGAGGAACCACTTCAAATCATGGCTACCCATGTATGTGTCTGGCAGATCATTTCATATTTCTTTTACACTGGATGAAAATGTGATTTTTCACGTCATGATTTCATTAACGCCGGTCTTCCGTGTGCTCTGATCACCCTTGTTATAAACCTTGAGTGTGCAGCAATGCAGGTCTTGGGTAGTATTTCGTACTAGACACACACCATGTTTGCGTTGCAAAAAAACACATGTATCTGGTTTGTAGCAAACACCGGGTTCACTCGTATGCTTGAGTGTCACACGCGTGAGAAAGCCAAAAATGGAAATTTCAACAAACTGTAACTTATCCAATTAGTGCCAATGTCCTATGTGGAACAGGTGCGTTAGACTCCAATTTGTTTTCAATAAGGTTTAATTCAGTCTTTCACGGGCGAGAACACCATGAACTCAGCCTCCGTCGATAAGATATGAAATATCCCCTTTCCTGGAAACGCGCACTTCATCTCGGGACGTCATGAGAAACAAATACGTGCCACTTGTGTCAAATACATTCACATGATGGAGAGGGGTACTGATCTCGCTGCTTCATTAGCTCCGTTACAGTCAGTTGGTTAACGTTACCCAGTCGCCTGGAAATATGCACCCGCGAGGTTCGGAAATATTCACAATATTAGCTTAAGATATTGTTTAGAGAGCCTGCCATAACAGATGTGTTCCAGGGAAGCGTTCCAATGAAACAGGAGATTCCAGACGTTTATTTTTTAACTTACGCCTAATGTAGCAACATATGTGTCGCAAATAAACAATGGACCCACCGCTTAGAAATTTAAGATAACAACGATTTGTTTTGTACAATGACACACAGTGATCGTGAATCAGTGATTGATTTCACATTGCGGGGGTTATAACCGCAGGTCATATTCCGAAGTGGTGGTAGGTACTAGATATTTACCAGTTTGATGAACACCCGAGTAGGTGCTGACAGACCAAGGATAATACTAAGGGCGAATCAGGAAGTCGGATCCACGATCAGAAGATCCTGACGTGGTCAAGGGACGCAACTCCTCATAACGTATTACGGTTTCTAGGCCACCCGTCGCGCCCCGAACTTGACTTAAAACCTAATCTTGAATTTTGCATTTTGAATGTTATTCTTATGTTCGAAGGTGGGCGGTGGAGTCGGACTGACGAAGGTGTAGACCTGGCATGCAGACCATATCGCCCAATCTGGGCTTCACATTAAACTACCATGGAACCTGTAGAATCCCACGACAAGTCGGGACGGATGATGGTTGAGTAAAGATAACTAACTCAGTCAAGGAACATGATCCTCTGTTGACATAATTGTTTAAAAGCGAAACGTCCTAAATGAACGCTGAAACTGCGTATCTCGTAAACGTTATAGAAGCAATTATTCTGAAAATTTTGCTGAACAGTTGAGTATTATGTAAGTGAACGTAGAAAAAAATTATTAGGAAAATATGCACGATTTGGTTTAATTTTCTATTTAAAGTTTACGAACGTGTTAATAATAATTTGATATTTTAATCGTGCTTTGTACATTAATCCCTGCACTTAAAGCACGGTGACATCGCCATACCTTTTCACACCGCAGTCAAGTTCCCAATTATATCACAGTGTGTGTGTGTGTGTGTGTGTGCGGTTGTGTGTGTGTGTGTGTGGGAAGAAAGTGTGAAGCCTATTTCTGGTGTCCCCCGCCGTCATATTGAGTGAGTATTGCTTAAAGTGGCGTAACACCATACTCACTCACTCACTCACGACCAGCACACGCTGCTGGGGACCAATTCTAACGCAGAATCACCATGGGGATATGTTTTGTTTCTTTGTTGTTTAACGCCACACTCAGCAATATTCCAGCTATATGACGGTGGTCTGTAAAATAATCGAATCTGGACCAGACAATCCAGTGATTGACATCATGAGCATCGACCCATGCAATTGGGATCGATGGCATGTATCAA